CCAAAATAGTGATGTCGAAGATGATGCATTCACAGAAAGGATAAGAAAATTTTTGGACAATTACAACAAGCGCCAAGTTTCAAATGTTGAAATAGAAAATTCGCCGCGACCTTCGCCTACATTACCTGCTAAACAAATTGAAGGAAGACAGAGTACAGTACGTTTCAGGGACGATCCAGATGTCATGCATTCCCCCGCTAAGGATTATTCCCAATGGCAAGGATCAATATTTCAAACACCTGGATTTTCCGTCATTCCTGATGCTCAATCTACTCCATTTGTCTACATGAAAACAAATGGTTCAAAAATGGGAAAAAAATCTAGTGTTGTGCCACGCCGACTACAGGAAAAAACTAATGATAATGTGTCGGGAACAAAGTGTACACCCATAGAAAAATCTTCCAAAGGTGTAGGTATTCCGTATTATGATTCCCCATCTTTTTCTGATACTTGTGACGACAATGACTTTAAAATAACGAAAGACGTGTTGACTAAAAATAACGTAATTCAAAAATGGTCAGAACCATTAACATATGAAAGAGACAATTATGCTCATTTCATGTCAGAAGATTGTGAACCAGTTGATGCTATTTCAAAACTTTTAGTGGCAACCGAGAGAATCGATCTTCAAGAACTGCAGGAAAAACGACCAAAAATAGGTCAGATACTTATTACCCCTAGTGGACGATATTGTACCTATTCAATAATTGTTAAACAAAGACATTATGACGAAATTGACTGGCGAAATGTAATTCTAGGTTTGAAAAATCTTAAATTAGCTTTGAGCCGAGATACTCGATCTACATGTCGTATGGCAAATACAGGTGATTTGTTAGGTTCCCTTCCCCAAGGTAAAATGACAGAATTATTAACAAAAATATTCCGCGGTGGCGATATCATTATGATATTGTGCCACGGAAAAATTGAAGTTCCACCCCCAGAATTGAGGCCAAAAATTATTTCGGAATATCACGAAAGTCTACTAGCAGGTCACAAGGGGATAACGAAGACATATAGACGAATTAGAGAACGCTACCTTTGGCCTCGAATGCGAGATGAAATAACAGAATTTATACGAGGATGTCAGAGTTGCCTTCAAAATAAATTAGTTAGAGCTCGTACTCGTGAACCAATGATAATAACCGATACTCCTGCAGGCCCTTTTGACAAAGTATCCCTAGATACCGTAGGAAAGTTACCTACTACTCCAAATGGGAATCGGTATATTCTCACTATGCAAGATAATTTCAGTAAATATTGTATAGCAGTCCCTATTTCCGATATAAAAACAACCACAATCGCTCATGCAGTAGCTACTCATTTATTCTCTCAGTTTGGAGCGCCTAGATGTGTTCTTACTGATCGAGGAGGAAGTTTTATAAGTTCACTCATGAGAAAATTGGAAAGAATTTTTGGAGTTAAACAAATAACCACTTCTGGCTACAGACCTCAAACCAATGGAGCATTAGAAAGAAGCCATATTGAGCTGACAGATTTTATTAAACATTATGCTGAGGATTTTGACGATTGGGATCGTCTTTTACCTTTTGCGATGTTTAATTATAATACATCAGTTCACGAGGCAACTAATTTCACTCCTTACGAGTTGGTTTTCGGAAAACTAGCAAGAATTCCAAGTTCATTTCCCCAAGGACCAGAGCTTGAGACTTATGGATCCTATTTAAAAGAACTTATAACTAGAATGAGCGAAATTCAGGGAATAGCTGCCAAAAATCTTGTCCAAGCGAAACTAAAGTCTAAAGAATATCATGATAGGACTGCCCGCCCTCTAAAAGCGAAAATTGGCGACAAGGTGTTCGCGTATAAAGAAATCCGAGCGAATAAATTCGATAAGAGAGCCGAAGGTCCTTATACCGTAGTAGGATTTACTCAAAATAATAATGTAATCCTAGAAGATGAAAATAACGAGAGATTTTCAAAACATAAAGATAAATTAATGATGGCATATTGTTAATTAAAATCTTTCTCTTTTATCAGGTTGTGAAGAGATTGAAGCAAACTGTGTAAGGAGTACAAAAAAAAAAAAAAAAAAAAAAAATCAATATGTACTTAAGCGTTGAAAATGCCACCTGCCAATTTTGAGGATGAAATAGTGTTAAATGGAGAAGAATATATAACGCTGATGTCCCCAGATTTAATTGTAGACGAAATAGACGTATTACTATCTCTAAAAACAAAACACAATTTTATTTCTGTAAATCTTCTAAACGTGGAATATGAAAATATTAGTCATTCTATAGAGAAGATAGGAAATGAATTTCTTTTAGTAGTTGGAAGTGTAGAATTAGAAGTTAACGGTGATAAAATTTTCTTTCTAGTTATAGACCCTAATACGGAATCATCTTTTCAATTTAATTCTGCAATAATTGGAACTAAAACTGCTATAACATTAGGATTAGTTTCAAACCTAACTGTAGAATATTATCTTCAACATCCCGTTTAATTATTAGGTATATATATATATATATATATATAACTCAAAATGAGTGAATTTTTAGAAGTCTTGCTTCCCAATGTAGAAGATGTCCCTATTTCGGAAATTAGTCGGAAAAATCCACCATTAATTATCAAAAGATTATTAAAGGATTTCGAAAAATCATGGAAAATCCCAAGAACACTAGCTAATTTAGCATATAATGCCATATTGCTAGATTGTCTAAAAACTGCTCAAAATATTCGTGATGTTAGAGTTGCTGGTCAAACAATGATCATTTATGATGAATCCGACAATGAAATTCTCGAATCATTGACAGTAAAAGTATTTTCTGGACAAAGGACAATATTTCGATTAAAATCTGGTTTTATTTGTCTATATCCCAATCTCTATGCTATTCTAAGATCTATTAAAATCATAGATCCAAAAAGCCTTTTGTATAATTATGTAGTGTATGTTATTCTAAGCAGTAATACACTCACTCTTCAAATAGGTTTAGATATGGGTTTTTCTTCCTGGATATATTATCTAATAAACAACATGAATTGTTGTTTTAGGCCTTTACAATTTCTACCAGATGGTCAATGCTTACACGTCTCTTTCCCATTGTCTCTCCCATTCAAGACACCTATCCACAAAGCTAGGAAAAATAAACTAAACAAAATAGGAATAACTGATTTTCATGAAATACCTATAAATAGGAGATTTACAAGTTGTTTGTGTTCATGTTTTGATTTACCACCATTGTTTAAAGAAGCAGAAGAGTCAAAATATCAAATTATAAACATACCCTATCCTTGGTACTTAAAAGATGATTTCGAATATATAGACCATAATTTCATAGAACGTTACAATGAAAATGACTGGCGACAATCTACTATAGAAAGCTTGTTCGAAACTCACTTCAGGAAAGCGTTAGTCGTTGGAGGGCATTTTCGAACTATTACCTATTACGAAAAGGAACTCGGGATGTCAGATACGCATGTACGACCAAACGAGTGTGAATAGTATCAGTCCTAATGTCAGTATGTATTGGAGAAATTCAAATACAAACACTGTTTTCATTTAAATTCAATTCTAACATTTATTTCTTCTGTAAAAATAGGAGGTCTAAAACCCCATTCAATAAAAACTATCTGGAATATTTCACCACGGCAAAGAAAGGATGGAAATTCCACTAATAGGAGGCATTTTAGATGTGAAAAACTACATCGCCATTGGATTCAAGGTTATACTATTGCTATTGATGCTGATCCTGTCTCGCAATATCTACCTATGCTATCGAAAGATATCTAGCAGACGTAGAAGAAACAACAATTTTCCACCGCCTCCTCCACCTGCGCCTCATGTGATGCTCCAGGACAGAGTTGCTTTTGACGTCTCTGTCTGAATAATAGTCGATGCTGAATCCTGCTGCTCCTTCCAAAATTAAATGTGTCCTGCATCAGATCCAGCAAAAGACCCAGATTTCATTCCCGTTCAACAAAAGAGTCATACCATTGAAAAATTATCTTCAGTAGCTAAAAGAAAATTTATAATTACTCTCACGAAACTTTTAATTAAAATCAAAAACAATATTATAAAACTATACAAACCATCATCAAACAGGAAACCGAAGCCAATTTTTCAAAAAGAAATCCTACAAAAATAAAATAATAAGAAAAAGCAAAACAATAATGAATTAAGTGAATATTAACTATACGAACCAGTGCATATAATTTTCATCTTGTCAACATTCATCAACAATGCAGCGAGTTTTTGTTTGTTTTTCTACAAATAGTCCCAAAAATTATCCAAATACGATGCTGAACTCTACAACAAATTCCAGTTTTCCCCATTCAAAATAAAATATACGAGTCCCAGTTCTCTCCATCAATAAAAGAATCTCCGTGTGCCAAGTGTAGTTTAATAAAGAAAATGGCCTCTCAGTTCTAAAGATGTGAGTGGTAAAAATTGTGATCAGTGCAACGATATTTTGAAATGTTGACTACATGCGATGAAATTCTAAAAAAATAACTATGGTTAAAACAAGTAAAAGACAAAATTATTTTTTATATATACATGTATGATTCTTATACTCACTCTAATTGCTGCTACAGTCATACCCTAAGTTTAAATTTTCAGTTAAAAGAAACAAAAGCAGGGAAATTTTACTGGAAAAGGAGATAAAAAGTAATTAAAATGTTCTTTAAAGCAAACGTCATTTTTGCTATTAAAATATATATATATATATTTCCTCTCTTTATATGAGAATATGAGTGAATAAATGTATGTGAATGAATATATATGAATGAATAAATGTATGTGAATGAATATATATGAATGAATATGTGCGAATGAATATTTGTGTGTTGATGGTATATGTATATATATATATATAAAGTTTACAAATATAAAAATACAAACTATTCTTATCTATATGTGTTTAAAAAAAAAAAAAAATATATAAATATAATAATATATATATGTATATATATATATATAGTAAACTATAAACAAATAATAAACTTATTAATTATCAATTTAAAAAAAAAAAAAAAATAAAATAAAAAAAAAAAATAATAACAGTAAAATGATAAAAAAATAAAAAAAAATAGGGGGTAACAATAATAAACTTATAACTATTAAATAAAGCTAATAAAATAAAATAAAATAAAAATATGATATGTACAAAAATGTGTATATACATTAATCGTCGCTGCCATAAATAACGCGATACTCGACTCGGGCCCCCGTCGAATCAATTATTCGCATTTGAAGAATTACGCATAGTAATTCTTCAGAGGGGTTAGTAGGCCCAAAACACCAATCTAAAACGAAAAAGAAAGAAGACGGGAATTACATATTAAACATTTGAACATGTGCACGTATATGTGTATGTGTATGTATATGTGTGTATGTATGTATATATATATATTTACTAACATGGAGGGGGTGCGTCAGATTCCTCCTGATAAATTATGCGGTAGTCTGCATTTTCATTATCCTCCCCCCTTAGTTTTACTTTCAACAAGACCCCAATCACTTGCTCAAAACTACGGAGCTCAGGAAGGAGCTCAGGAAGGGGCTCTTGACGGCGCAGGAATGGTACCCAACCTAACCAATTAATAAACGATATATGACAAGCGATTAATAAATAAAAATAGTTAAAAATACTAATAAATAAAAAAAAAAAATTTCTTACCATCATTATCCTCTAACACAAGGTCGGGAGGAGTCCTACTCCCGCCCAAGCCTCGAGCTGCATGACCATCACCTGTAAAATAAAAATTTGAATAAATGTAAGTATGAATGTTAGAAAAAGGCGCACAAATGTGATATAAAAAGTTTATAAAGATAAAAATATCTTACCATTATCCACCCACGAAAAGAGATCGGGCATATCGGGCGGAGTTATACTCCGACCCAAAGCTTGGGCTGCAAAACCATAAGCTGTAATATAAAAATTGAATGAATAAAAGTATGAATGTCAGAAAAGACGTACAAGTGTTATACAAAAATTTATATAAGGATACATGTAATGATAAAAAAACATACCGTTATCTGCCCAACAAACAAGCTCGGGCATATCGGGGGGAGTCAAAGCCCTTGCTCCCTGAACATCATCTGTAAAAAAAAAAATAATAATAATGTTAATATAAACCCAAATGTGTATTTAATATATAATATTCATGACTCACCTTCGACAAATATGTCATCTCCTAGTGACTCTATGTCACTCACATCTGGAGACGTAACATTCTCCGATTCGTCTTCTTCTTCTGCCTCATCTGTAAAAAAAAAAAAAAAGAAAAATGTATATATATGCATATATAGGAACCCATAATTATGTATATGTTTTTCATCTAAAAAAAGAGGTTTTGTTACCTTCTAAATCTTCTTCGCAATTTCGTGACTCAATGTCACTTACATCCGGAGATGTAACATCTTCATCAGCTCGATCTATAAAAACTAAAGTATTAATATGCATGTCTAAAATTTATACACGTATGGGCTTTACGTTAACAATATCCTACCTGTTATAGGCAGATCATCACCTGCCAGGCCATTCTCTTCAGGCCAATCTTCACCTACCGGTTCCTCCACTAAAAATCCAGAATAAACCACAAAAATCAATAAATACAATTGAATTTAAAAATATTTCTCTAATATATATATATATATATATAATACTTACATGTGGGGGGCAAGATGTGCTCCTGACTGGGCGGGCGTGATGAGCCGGGGCTGCGATCGCGGGCTGCAATATTGCACCCGACCGTTATCCTTTCCTCCTCACCGCGCTCATCATCAGCATCGCTTGCACCTTCATATTCATTGGCCTTATACCAATGCCATCCGTCTGTAATTAAGTACAAATGTATATGTGTATGTGTATATATGTATATTTTTTCTTACCTTATTTTCTTATTCACAGTACTTACCCTCTTCAATCGTAAAGCGGTATCTAATACCGGTGTGGGAACACACAGCGGAAACCACCCCTCCTTCAGCTCTTGCTGTAAAAACTAACAAAATCTCTAGGTTATAAAGTTTTTTCGATTCATATATTAAAAAAAAAAAAAAAAAAAATTTGATTGATGATAATAGTGCAATTATATGAAAATTTAAATAAAAATTATTACTAAAGTTTAATAAAAGTTTTATTAAATAATTGTAATTTATAAAAATTATCTCAAATTTAATAAAAATTAATAAAATTCTATTTTTATTGTTCAATAAACAATTTCTGTTAAATAATAAAAATTATAACAAAATTTATTAAATTTATTAATAAAGCGCAATTTTAGAATAATTAATAATTTTTGGTAAATTATAGAAAAATTACCTGTTAATTATAAAAATTGTTAAATAAATAAAAAAAAAAGGGGGCATAAAATAATTAAAATTTTGCAATAATAATGCAATTATTATTCTTCCTAATTCGAAATGATTTCAAGTCTTACATAGATTATATTATATTCATCTATATCGGATTTCCTCAAAATTTCTATATAGATTCTATACTGTTAAGCCTATATAGAAATCAAATAAAAACTCCATATAGATTGTAGAACATTTGACCTACGTAAATAATACATTTAAGTCCTATATAGATTCTACATACTATGGCCTACATAGCGCATATATATATATCTTCTATAGAGGTCCTATATTACTTAGCCTACATAGAGGGGATATAGTCAAGCGACAGATTGAGCATTTGTCATTAGATAGGCCGACCGACATAGATCCTACATTGAACCAACTTTAAATTTAATTTTAACAATTTTTCTTCAAAGTAATAAAAATTATTATTGAATTTCGTAAAAATTCGATAACTAAACAAAAATACGTTAAAATCAGATAAATTTTGGTAAATTTTTATTGTTAAATAAACAAAATTATGGAATAAATAAATAAAAATAAATTTTTAAACTTCATTTTCTTGTAGTTCGTATCAATACCGAAATTTGATTACCACAATGAGACACGAAATTTTGAGATCTAAAACATGTAAATCGAGATTGAAAATTTTTTTTCTCCAAATTCAAAACATTCGAAAATTTATATAAAAAGGTACTGCCAGATAAAATCCTAAATATCTCGTAAACTATAAGCCTAATTAAAAAATGTCATTGATTTCAAAAAAAAAAAAAATTTTCAATTTAAAAAAAAAAAAAAAAAAAAAAAAAAAAAAAAAAAATTACAATAAAAACAATGTAATAATTATTAAAAATTTGTTAAATAAATAATTTTTCTAAATATTTATAAAATTATTATTGAGCCGAATATTTATTAAATGCTTTAATTATTCTTGCTAAATTTTAAATTATTATTGGAGATTTGTATTAAATATTAAAAATTTGTTAAATAAACAATTTTTTTTTTAAGTTAACAAAAATTCCCATAATTCTTATTAAAATAAATATTTATTAAATAATTTATAATTCTTGGTAAATTTTTATAAAATTAACTAATTAAAAACAAAAAAGATAAATAAATAAATATAAATAAATAAATAAATAATAATATAATAATTATTAAAGAAATTGTTACAGAAATAAAATTTTATAATAATAATATAAGTATTATTAAAATTTAAATAATTATCAAAATTTTATTATATGTACCAAATTTTATTATTAAATTTTTGAAAATTGTTAAATAAACAATTTTTTATATGTATAAAAAAAAATTGTTGCTAAAAATTTATAACATTAAATAAATTTATTAAATAAACAAAACTTAGTAAACTTAAATTTTTTTTTACGAAATTTCTATTAAATAAATAATTAATTAATAATTAATTAGTTAACTAATACATGTTGTTTATTAAATAAAAATATAGGAGAAATTCATTCATAAAACTCAGTATATGCACTGTGCATTTAAATCCTATATTGTGGTCACTATGTTCAAACCGTAAGCATGTATACTCTCTATATATATATATATATATATATATATATATACTGTGTACAAGGCATGAGCTGTGGCGCCGAGCTGTCTGTACGCGCACCCATCTAAATAGATGGTACCCATGCCTAATAGCACTTTGAATATATGAACCAAGACAAAAAAAATGCAATTTTAAATGTCAATTTATTTTTACGAACAAAGAATTTTTTATATAAAACATCAATAATAAAGTTGAAAATAATTACTTATTCTAATCAATTTTAATTTTACATTTACAAAATATTTTGATTAAGTAATTTTATATTGCTAATAAATTATAAACAATTAAAATTTTAAAGAAAGTTAAAAAAAAAAAAAAAAAATTATATATATTAATTATAATCGATTGTTAATAATTAAAAATATTAATTATATTTAAATTATGTACAATGTATGTTATTAATTTAATTAATAAAAAAAAAAAAAAAAAAAAAAAAAAAAAAGAAAATTAAACAAATATAATAATAGTAATAATAATATATTTTAGTTTTAATTTTAAAATATTTTTTTGTAATATAATGTGTCTGGGTTCATATTATGATCATCGCGCTGGAACTGTGTATACATGTATATCTATATATGCTGTCATCAAGTGTAAGATGCGGCGCCGCATCGACTATATACATACCCCTCCAAGAGCATGGAATATACATTTGATAGCATTTAGAAAGCAAATTCAAAATTATGAACGATTTTCATTTTGAAATATTTTTAAATTGTTTAATTAATATTTAATGATCAATAATAATTATTATTATAAATTAATAACAAAAATTATTAATTTTATTTGAAATCTATAAAAAAAATAATAATAATAATAAATAAATAAAATTTTTATTATAAACAAAATTAAAATTATTAAATAATTATTAAGATAAATAAATTAGGTTAAAAAAAAAAAAAAAAAAAAAAAAATTTTTTATAATAATAATAATTATTATCTATTTTTAAAAGGATGTGTGTATTTGTTTACCGAGAATGAGATATATTTATCGATTGTTATAAACAATCAATAAATAATTCAATAATAGTAAAAAGAAATAAAAAAATAGAAAATCTTGAAACTTACTAAACCTCTCCATAAATTCTCTGCTGTTTTCCGCATTTCCAGCCATTTTTTTTTACTCTCCACCCGCACTTTTACACTAATTGTTTTTTTTTAAAAAAAAAAAATAGTTTTTTTTTAAAGTTTTTGCACCACCCGCACTTTTACACTAATTGTTATAATAAAAAAAAAAATATAGTCTTCCAAAGTTTTTGCACTATTCGCACTTTTACAATAATTGTTTAAAATAAAATCCTCCGATATCCACTAAAATTGTTCAAAATAAAATAATCCCAGAGATTTTAAATTTCACAAGCGCACTTGATCACTTCACGAAATGAACTGATTTGTATCAGCACAAAGACATTGATACTGGGTCCTATACTGTAGCAGTGCTTAGAAGAGTCACCAAGTAGACACAATATTTAGATTATATGTCGATATACAAAGTATAAGGAATGCTGTGGTCGAGACCATGAGTTTTCGGGGACGAAAACGGAAAAATCCGCGGTGGATTGTTACGAACTATCGTAACGAAATTATAAATAAAAGATAAATAAAATGATAATAAATAATTTCAAGAATAATTGAAAATTATTTAAGAATAAAATCTCCAAGTCGATGCCACAATGTATATAGGCATGTAATTTGAATCCCCGATAATCGCGCGCGTTGAGTGATACTCCACACACACAGTCTTATATTCTCGTTGCTTCTAAAAATGTATCTATGACTATGATATTATAATATAACTTTGTTAAACTGTTATATTATAATATATTATTTTATTCTATCTTATGTTATATTATTCTATATTATGATTTATACTATATTATATTATGCTATATTATAAACTATATTAATTATCTAATACCAATATTCAAGCTTGAATATTATAAATATATGCATGAAAAATATAATATAGTGTACTTACCTTATATAAAGATACTAAAATATTATTATAAATAAAACAATTATACTTTACTCATTTTTATTAGTAATTTGCAGTAATTAATTAATTAACAATATGCAAATTATTGTTAATTCATGATTTTTTTTATTAATAATGATAAATCGTATTATTATCATTGTTAATTACATTTACTAAAATTAATATTAATAATTAATCATAATTATTATTATAAACAATTGGATATATTACCAATACTATTTTTCTACTTATTAGAATCATCATTATCAAATATTATTTCAAAGAATATGCATTGTATATGCACGTATGCGTGTGCATTATTTTTATCGTGTGTACGTGTGTTCATAGTATGCCAAAGTGATATGCATAGATATGTGTATACATTGTTTGGTTGCACATTTCTACGCATATTATAGTAACCAACAATAATGTGATTATTATATTGCAATTATTATATTTACGAAAATGTATTATTTTATAAGAAGGGAGAAGAATCGCATATGTCAATTCTATCTATCTTTCTCTCTCTTTCTCACGCGTTCAGGTGCAATGAGTCTCGTAGCGTGGATGCGGTACACACAGACACGGACTCCCCATAGCCTGCGTAACGCATATGTGTGAGGCGCTTGAGGAGTATCGCGCGATGCAAACACTGCCTTCCTTCCCCTATTCTTTTCCTTATAATACCTTCAAATTAAAAAAAAAAGGGAAATAAAGATAGAATAATTGTTGATAGCTTAAATTGGAACATGTCACATTTTCCAAGCACATATAAACTCGCAACAATTAAGATTTTATTTTAAGAGGGTCAATTTTGTAAAAAAAACAAAATGCATATAAAAAAAAAAAAGAGAAGAAAATTTTTGAGACATGTATGTCGTGCATATATGTATGTGTACTAAGGTAAATGTACGTGTGTATGCGTAAAATGTATATGCATATATAAAAAAGGAAAATAGTTTCATTTTTAATATGAAAACGATAATCTGTGCAGAACTATGACCGCTCTGGAATTCAACAAAGGTTGCGAGTTATACTTTATTAAAAACACATATATACACTTACACATATGGAGATGTGCAGTTCCAATAGTGTCAACAAAGAAAAGAATAACAAGAATCATGGGTTCTGAGAATATCGATGGACGATGATCTAAGTTTTCTTATCGATACCCCTGAAACCCCCAGAATCCTTCTACCCCTGATTCACTAATCCCACTAAGTGCATCTCGCGATGCTCTTTATAAGCAGAAGCTCATAGGGCCTCATTGCCTATTCGTCTTCAGTCAATCACTTAGTACGTGTTACTGATTTTTGCATTATTTCTTTAAAAAGTGAACTTAGAGTTTAAACTGTGGAGAAAGCTCAATAATATACCTGCTGAATCACGATAGATTTTCGTTGAGCCAGGTAAATTAACAGCAGTGCTTAAATTTCTAAAATTAAAATTGCTGAATCACGATAGATTGTCGTTGAGCCAATTTTTAATTTTAAGAATAAGGCCCGTCTGCGAGCTGGCTCCAATTTAAATTCTATTTTCTTTGGGCGGACGTAAAATTAAATCGAACCTTGAACCGGCTGAGTCCCAATCGGTTGATCAGTACAGTGAGAAATTATTTAATAAATTATTTATAATTTATTAAATAATTTTTTGTTCTTAAAACCGGCCAGTCCGTACGGATTGTACCTGCGCCGCTTGTGTCTGATAGGGTACCGGTACCGCGTTTCGAGACGCGGAAATACGCATAACACCTTTCTTTCGTTTTGCCCGTTGATTGTGTGACGAGATCGCGAGAATTCTCCCTTCTCAACAAGCTCTCTCGACGGTAGTGTGTAAGAGAAATCTAGCCGTAAGTAATAAAAAACTGTATCGTTCCAAAAACATTATTCTTTACAAAAGAAAGCATATAATGTGTAATTTTTGCAATTTTTACTTTGATTTTTAATAAATTTTTGTAAACTAAAATTCCAATTGTTCTATTCAATCAAATAGACCTTTTTATTTGTGCTGTCAAAAATAGTGTGGATTTTCATCTCAAAGCTAAGAAACATTATTTACGATCTAAAGATTAAATTGGCAGTTTCGTCTTCTATCGGCGATATAATTAATCGAACCCACATAAAAATAAACATTATTAAGTTAAATGTTCATTTTGACTTTTAATGGCAACTTGGTTCCTCCGGCGAATAGAAAATTTTAAGTAATTGTTTAAAATTATAAAAATTAAATAATTAATTTTTCTCGTTCGTAACACTTGTATTAACTACTGACAAAAAAAATAAAATGAAAATATAAAAAATTACCGACTTACAAGAATCTTATTTGCCGACTAATTATAAAACCCGGAAAATAGAGATATAAATAATTATCGTCACACAGGAAACTTCCCTACCGACTGATGGTAAACCATGAAAATTAAAATTCAAAAAACTACCGACTTACAGAAATCTTCTTTACCGACTGATGATAAGAATATGAATATTTTCATTTTAAGGTTTGTACCATCAGTCGGTTAGAAAGTTTTCTGTAAGTCGGTAATTTTTATACTTTCATTTTCCCATCCGCTGGTAAAGAAAGTAAAGTAAGTCGGTAATTTTTTGTATTTTCTTTTTGATGTTTTACCATCAGTCGGTAAGGAAGTTTTCTGTAAGTCGGTAAGTTTCTATATTTTTATTATCAGTTGGTAAGGATGATTGGTGTAAGAAAATAATTTTTTATGTTTATTTTACAATCAGACGGTAAGGAAGATTTCTGTAAGTCTGTAATTATTTATATTGTCATTTCCCTGTTTTACCATTAGTTGGTAAAACAGATTCGTTACGAGCGTTGCCAGGTTTTCTTGTCTGTTGGAAAAACGTGTTTTCTTCACCAATTTTAATATTAAAAATTAAAAAAAATTTTAACCCTATAAAAATCGATTATTTAAACAAATATGAGAAATTAAAACTAATACCGTAATTTTCTATTGCGGCGAGTTTGTATCAGTTTCGGTGTATCAATTTCGGTGACCAAAATTACGTGTATTTTGAAGATACTTTGCCCGCCGAAATTGAAGCCAATGGAAATCTTAAAAATGTTTCAATTGCGGCGCGGAAAAAAATTTGATCTCAAATAATTAAATTAATAATTGTTTAACCCTTTGCGTCACATTATACAATTATACATATTACACATATTACAATTATATTTCATATGAATTCGCTTGAAAATCGTTACTCGGGGGTTTTCGGGGTCGCTGATTACGAATCTGACTTTAGTTTTTAAAAATTCAAAATGGCCGATCCAATATGGCGGACATAAAAGTTAAAAATTAACTGAATTCTCTTGAAAATTGATACTCGGGGGTTTTCGGGGTCGCTGATTACGAATCTGATGTCAGTTTTTAAAAATTCAAAATGGCGGATCCAATATGGCGGACTTGGAGTTTAAAATTAACTGAATTCGCTTGAAAATCGTTACTCGGGGGTTTTCAGGGTCGCTAAATACGAATCCGATGTCAGTTTTTTAAATTTCAAAATGGCAGATCCAATATGGCGGACGAAAAAATAAAAAGTCAACGCATTCGCTTAAAACTCGTTACTCGGGGGTTTTCGGGGTCGCTGATTACGAATCTGATGTCAGTTTTTAAAAAATCAAAATGGCGGATCCAATATGGCGGACATGAAGTTAAAAATTTACTGAATTCGCTTGAAAATCGGTACCAGGGGTTTTTCAGGGTCGCTGAATACGAATCTGATGTCAGTTTTAAAAAATACAAAATGGCGGATTCAATATGGTGGACATGAAGTTGAAAATTGACTGAATTCGCTTGAAAATCGTTACTTGGGGGTTTTCAGGGTCGCTGAATAAAAAAATAAAAATAGAATTTTAGAATTTTAAATGTTTAAATAGGAATAATAGATGCTTATCTTTAAATCATGTACCTGACAACCCTTGGATTAGTAACCTGTAAAAATAAACGTTTTTTACACTCAGCAGTATTGTTATTTACAAAATTGTTAGCATTTATGTTTTTGTAACTGAATCCAATGTATACCTTTTTTTACTATCATAAAGATTGTTGACGATCGTCATTTGTTTCACTGACTTTTTTTTGCGACGATCGTAATTTGTTTTATTTATAAAAATTAAAAAAAATAAATAAATAAAAAAAACAAGGTGGAACCAAAATCTTGCCAAGTCCACGTCGTTGGTTCTGGGTAACGCTGAGAGCAGGATAGATAAAAAAAATGAAATTATTATTTTCGACAACTGACATGAGATTCGTATTCAGCGTCCCCGAAAACCCCCGAGTAACAATTTTCAAGCGAATCTAATCAATTTTCAACTCCAAGTCCGCCATATTAGAACCGCCATTTTAAATTTTGAAAAACTGACATCAGATTCGTATTCAGCAACCCTGAAAACCCCCGAGTGTCAATTTTCAAGCGAATTCAGTTAATTTTAAACTCCAAGTACGCCATATTGGATCCGCCATTTTGAATTTTTGAAAACTGACATCAGATTCGTATTCAGCGACCCCAAAAACCCCCGAGTAACGATTTTCAAAAAAATTCAGTCAATTTTTAGTTTTCATGTCCGCCATATTGGATCCGCCATTTTGAATTTTTGAAAACTGACATCAGATTCGTATTCAGCGACCCCAAAAACCCCCGAGTATAGATTTTCAAAAAAATTCAGTCAATTTTTAGTTTTCATGTCCGCCATATTGGATCCGCCATTTTGAATTTTTGAAAACTGACATCAGATTCGTATTCAGCGACCCCGAAAACCCCCGAGTAACAATTTTCAAGCGAATTCAGTTAATTTTAAACTCCAAGTCCGCCATATTGGATCCGCCATTTTGAATTTTTAAAAACTGACTTCAGATTCGTAATCAACGACCCCGAAAACCCCCGAGTATCGATTTTCAAGGGAATTCAGTTAATTTTTAATTTTTATGTCCGCCATATTGGATCCGCCATTTTGAATTTTTGAAAACTGACATCAGATTCGTATTTAGCGACCCCGAAAACCCCGGAGTAACAATTTTCAAGCGAATTCAGTTAATTTTTAACTCCAAGTCCGCCATATTGGATCCGCCATTTTAAATTTTTAAAAACTAATGTCAGATTCGTAATCAGCGACCCCGAAAACCCCCAAGTAACAATTTTCAAGCCAATTTAGTAAAAAGAAAAATGTGTGACTTAAAGGGTTAAATGTGCATCTTTATAAGTATTTGTATCAAAAAAAGATTGAAATAATTTTTTTTAATCATTTGGCAACAGTTATATTAAATATAATAGTAATAATAGTTATTTTTTATGAACGCGCCGTAATTGGTACACTCGCCGTAATTAGTACACTTACCCTATGTTAAGAATTTATAATTATAAAATAAAGATTCGATTCAATATCTGAAATTTCTGATTCGTACATCTCTATTATAAAAAGTAAAAAATTTAAGACCATTTTTCAACGAGTTAAATAATATTAAATATTAAAATTATTAAAAATATTAAGAGTTGAATACATATGAGAAAAAAAAATTTCAAAATCCATTAACATTGCATTTTTATTTTAAATATTATGTGTTAGAGATAAAAATTACAATGAGGAATTCTTGGACAATCTCCGTTTGAAAATTATATATTACAAGTATTGCAATACGGAGAAGCAAAGGGTAAAAAATAACAATTAAACCATACAAATACTTATAATTTGAAAGTGTGTAGATGTTCTTTCATTATTATTGTTATTATTATTATTACATTAAAAAAAAAGAATAATCACATTTTCTATACATTCGTCATAGATATTTGTTTAATTAGCGATTTACAAAACTGCCTCGTATTATTAAAATAAATCTTTAAATATTATTTATTTTAATTGAAATTCTATTATTATCTTTCTTTTTCATTTTCAAATGTTTCATAAATGTCCAGTCTTTTTTCATATTTATCATTCTTTGGCAGACCAAACAGATTTCATGAAATTCTCATTGAGAATAAAAAATATACACGTGCATTTGATTAAAAATAGTAAACAAAAAAAAAACGAAAAAAAAATAAACAAAATTATTATTCTACCACTTCAAAAATCGAATTTTTTATAATCACTTGACAAAAATATTAGCATCTGAATGATAAAGAACTAAATTGATAGGGAAATAAAAAAAAATCAAAAGAAATTCTAACTTGTCTTAAGGATGCAAACTTCTGTAAATGAAACTCGAACAAACGGCAGAATTGAATTTCCGCGAAAAAAAAAAAAATAATGAACTTGTGTGTTCTGGAGGGAAAAATGGAGATTTTTTTTTTTCATTATGGAAAGTTTTTTTTTTTTTTGTTTTTTTTAGTGAGATGCAATTGGTTCGGGAACCTCTTTCCACACAGGATGAGTGCCATCTCCTTTGTTCTTGCAAACTGATTTGATTAAATCCTTAGAGGGTTGCTTTAAATCGTATGCCAATCCAAGTTTAGCGCAAAGGTCGATAAAACCAGTCGTTACATTCATTCCATAGTCGCCAAGTTCAGCCGCCTAAAAATTATTTTTTAGTTAATAATTTATTTTTCAAGAATAATAAGTAAAAAATTTTAATTATTGAATTTTTTTGTTATTATCTTCCAAAGAAAAAAAAAAAAAAAAAAAAGAATTAAGAAAAAAATTAATAATACGTATAAAAAAATAAAAATGATATATTTTTCTTTTTGAAATAAAAAAATATAAAGCTTTTTGAAAGGGCCTTTCTTTTTTTTCTCACCTTATAATCCCAAGGGAATGTGTGGTGATAATTATGCCACCCCTCGCCCATAGTTACAATGGAGACTGCTTTGTGTTCCGTTGGAGCAATGTTCCTGCAGACATAATTAAATTTGATTTATTCAATTGAATTTTCTTTTCTAAAACGTAAAATGAAGATGAGAAATTTTTTGGTGAAGTAAAAAATTCCCTCGTGCGAAACATAATTAACAAATTTTTTTTTTTTATTTTTAACCATTCAAGACTGATATAAAGAAAAGTTCATTTGTTAAAAGAAAAATTTTATTCTGATGCCTCGGATTATACTTTTTTTCGAAAATAAGACTTTTTTCGACTTATTTTAAATAAGATACGACTTTTTCGACTTTTTTTATACTTTTTTACAAAATACGTCATTCTTCAGATTTTTTTTATTTCAATCATTTAACAATTTTTAAATTAAAATTCTCCTCTGAATTAATTATTTTCAATAATTTTAATAAAATTCTTCACAAATTCAATTATTTTCAAAAAATTTAATATTTTATTTTAAAGGAGAAAAATGAAGACTTATTTTCAGATGCAACATTTTTTTAAAGACAGCTTTCGACAAAATTTAAAAAAAAAAAAACTTATAACATAATTATGTTTTTACTTTTAATAGAAAAAATACTGTTTTCAAATGAATAATCAAATTTTAGACTTAAATTAAGATTATGATAATTTTATTAAAACTGAATATTCATTATTCTACGTTCAAAAATATAGTTGAATAAAATAATAAAATTCTTCTTATAATAGAAAAATAATTCACATAAATTAATTTAAGATTTTTCTTTTCATGGAAATTTATGGATCTTTCTTATTTTAAGAATATCGTAATTCTTAAAATTGTGAAAAATATGAATTAAAAAGATAAATAATAATATAAAAAGTGTGTGTTCTACTTTTATATTTTTATCCAAGTTATAATGCATCTTAATAAATGGAAAAATGCAAAATAAAAAGACTCATTATAAGAAATAATTCAATAATTAATAACATACACAGATAAAAAAAAGACAGAAAGAAAATGGAAACATTGGAAAACTAATGAACATGGAATCTATTTTCAGTGTACGATTTCAATCCAATTCATTCCGTGTAAATTTAAATTTTTCATTCAATTTGAATCTCAATACAGCGCAAATCCAGATTGAATTTTCGGAATAATTCCTAAGGACGAATATTAATAGTTTTATTTTCGATTTTACAATTTCCACGATTTTCATGAAAAAAATAAATAAAAATTAAAAAAAAAAGTTTTTGTTTAATTTTTTTCTATATTTATTTTTTAATTATTACAAATAATACTGAAAAAAATAAATTGCTGTTTATACTACTAAATTGAACTGGAAAAAAAGGGACGCATAAATATTTCCCACATTAAAATTTCTGTTTCACTAAATTCTAATTTAATAGAATTTCTATTTTAACTAAACTTTTGTAAAGCAAATTTTCTAATACATGGAATTTTCAAATATTACAATTTTCATTTAACAGAATTTATGATTCCCATAAAAATCATAATTTTTCATTTTAAAGAATTGTATTCGATTTAATTATTTTTTAGACAAATTTTCATTTTTCAATTAGCATCTGTTATAAATTTTTTTTTAAAACAAATTTTTACTTTACTCAATTTTTAGATGCCGAATTTTTATTTGTTCGAATTAGTATTTTGCAGAATTTTCATTAAAACGATTTTCTATATTACAGAATTTTTATATAACCAAAAATCCACTTCACAGAATTTTTATTGGGTAGAATTTCATTGCATAGAATTTGCTTTCAGATGAATTTTCATTTGTTTGAATTATTATTTGAAAATTGATGAAAATTCTGCAAAATTCTAATTCGAACAAATAAAAATTCGGCTCAAAAATAATTATAACAAATGAAATTCCATAAAATTAAAATTCTAACAAATGATTTTTAGAACATAATCATGAGTCCCAATTTTCAGTCGGTCATTTGCAATTTTGGACAAATGAAGGTTTATCGATTTAAAAATTGTATTAAATAACAATTCGTGCAAATAAAAATTCGGACAAATGAAGATTCGAAGAATTGGAATTCCTGACAATTAAAAATTGAAATCACTTAAAATTCTGTTGAATATGAAAATTAAACTAAATTAGAATTTTTTTAAAATAAAAAGTTGAATAAAGAGAAATTTTGTCAAATAAAAATTCGGTACCTAAAAATGGTTCTAAAAGTGTTCAGTTAAATATAAATTCTATTAAATCAGAATTTACTTAAATAGGAATTAATAAATTTAAATAATTTTTTATAATACGAATTATATGAATATTTTTATTATGTTTAATAATAAAAACTTTGTTTTCCCTATGAATAAGAAAATTTTAATTTGCATATGCAAAAGAAAGGATTTTTAAAAAATAATTGAATATTAAGTTTTTTGATATGAAAAATTCGGCTCATTATAAAATCTACTTTATAAAATTTTGCTAGTATAAAAATTCGATAAATAATTTTTAGACACCACAAAAAATTCAATAGATCTAATGTGAGGAATATTCATGTGTCCCGAAAAAAAGAACTAAATACCAAAAAAAACTGTTACATTTCAATATCAAAAGCTATTAAATTTTTTTTAAAAATATTTTCCACTTAATTGGAAGGGGATTAACTGTTCGATTTGATAGTTATAAGGACTCGAAAGGTGTGTGGTGCTGCATTGGACGATTAAACGGCATAAACTTTAGGGTCAATTACTTTGGCTGTTATTAAATTTTAAATGGAACCTGAGACCCTTAAGAGCACCATTATTTTAGCTGATTATGTGACTTAACGTAAAATTACTTGCTGAATATTAAGGAATGCAAATTCATGTTACTTACTTGTCGTAGGGTTTTTTATGACCCCATAAGTGGGCAAAGCTGTTTGCACTGAATGTCACATTTAGTTGAAAAACGTAACGAATAAAGCATTGTGACAAAATTGCATAGTACCAACTTTCATTCCAACAATAAACTGGCACAACAGTGGGAAGAATGAAGCACAACAAATATTTCCAAACTCTGAAATACCTAAAAAAAAAAAGATAAAAAAAATTTTGTTATTAATTAAATATTTATTACAAATTAAATTAAATTCGATAAAATATTAATAATTAAATAAATTTAATTTCAATTTTATTTTAATATAATTTTATTTTTTTTTTATTACAATTTTTGATAAAATTTAAGTTTTAATAAAAAAAAAAGATAAAATTCTTTTCATTAATTTAAATTTTTAAAAATGATATTTAATTCAAATTTAAATTTTTTTTAAATTTAAAGTAAAATAAAAGTGATAAAATTATATTTGTTAAAAATTTGTTTCTTTAAATATGTTCATAATTTAAGAAATATAATTTTAAAAAAAACTAAAATTAATTTATTTATTTTAAGAACAAAAATAATTATAAAAATTGAAAAAATGTATTTTTTATGGAAAAGAAATTCATATCAATTTATAAAATGAAGGAGTAAAATAAAAATAAATGAAAATAAAACTGTATATATATAATAAATATAGAAAAGATAAGATATTGAAACTTACTTGTCTCCAAATCGTACGAGGGGATCAGCTTTAATATCACTAATATCGACTTGACGCTTACGTCTAATCATTTCCGGGTGTTTCTTCATCATCAACCAACCAATGTGTGCGAAGAAAAATCCACGATTTGAATTTGTTGGATCAGCTTCCGTCTCAGCATATTTATGATGAATTCGATGAAGTTTTACCCAATTGCTAATTGTAAACTGCAATTAAAAAAAAAAAGTAAAAAATTTTTAGTTTTTATTTTTGTAAAATTAATTTTTGTTACATGAAAATTTCTCTTCAGACCTCGGATCGACTTTAAATTGTAAAATAAGACGTTTTAGTCGATTTAAATTTCAAGAAAAGTCGAAAAAGTCAATTTTTTATTTTTAATAAATTTAATTAATTAATTAATATTTTATTTCAATTAACTATTATTATTGGATATTAAATTAATATTTATATATTTATATTATTATTTTATTCGATAGAAATATCATCAAGAAAATTTATTTCGAATATTTTTAAAATAGAACTAAGACAAATTTTTTCAAGATTTTAATTTAGTAGAAAAAATTTCTATAAAAATTCTTAATGTTCCATTTTGAAATCTTTTTTTTGAAATCTGATTTAAGCAAATTATTTGAATTAAAAATTTTTGTATAGTTTTTTTTAGTTTTAATGAACAAAAAAATTTCAAACCATAATTAAATTTTAAAGAATTTTTATAATTGCAATATTTTCTAAAATTTTTAATTAAAATAAGTGTTTGCAAATTTTTTTTTTTTTTTTGCAAAAAATTGTTCATGCATTAAAATTTATTGCATAATTATTTTAAGTGGAAACAATAAAAAAAAGAAATAAAAAAAAGAGAATAAAAATGAATTAAATGAACACTTTCACAAATTTGAAGATAAATAAAAAATGAATTTAACTTACCGTGCCATTGGAATAATAAAAGAGGAGCAACAACGCTCTCAAAGGTGTTTTTGCTTTGTAACATCTATGTGCATATAAACGATGAGCACCAGCCGTTTCTCCAATTTTTGTATAAGTATAGACTCCCAACACTTGAAGAAAAAAAAAAAAAATTAATTATGCGTTCCAATCATAAAATTGATTTTTTTATTTTTTTTTGATAATATGGAAATTGAAAAAAATTTATTTTCTTTCTTCTTATTCAAACGTTATAATAAAAAAAAGAACAAAATACATGAGAAATAGTAAAATAAATATTAAAATAAAAAAAAATTTTATATGTAAAAATTTATTAAAAATATATAAAACTTATTAATTATTTATCAAAAAAAAAAAAAAATACTTACTCCATAGTGCTGTTAATTTGTGAGTGAAATAAGGGAATGTGAGGGCTGCATAAATTGCTATACTGTGCCAAACAACAAAGAAAATAATGTAATTCCATAATAATTCATTTTCAAATTCAAAAGGTCCCAATTTCGATGGTTTTTGAAGTTCTATGTTATCATAAAGTCCAGGTTTGACGTCACTTTTTTCTTTAAGATCACCATTGGATGATGGATCTGATACCGATTTTATCGTCTCCCCGATAGTCGAGTTTGTCGTGGTCGGGGGCATGTCTAAAAAGAAAAAATCATAATTTCTCCCATTAGTAAATAGAGACAAGAAAAAATTTGCTCTTATTTAAATATACAAAAATTTTTTTTTTTCTAATCTACATTCTAAAAAAAAATACATAGGTAACGAAATTTATTTCTCCTAAAGAAAAACTAAAAAAAAAATAACATAAAAATAAAACAAAATCCAAAGTAAAATTTTCTAAAAACTTTTTCTAAAATATAATGAAAATATAAATATAATGAATAAAATATAATATAATCCTGAAAAAATTATTTCACAATAATTATTACTAGATGGAAAAATTACAAATATTTTTATTTTGTAATAATAGATAAATAAATAAAATAATATTTAATTAATAATAAAACAAAATGAATATTTAAATAAATATAAATTTAAAATAATAAAAATTAACATTAAAAAAAATATATATAACTAACTAAAATTTGTATATGAAAAGAGATAAAAGTTATGTTTTATAATATGTATTCAAATTCACCCGCATAAAATATTATAAGGTGTGAAGTTGTTACATAAAATATATATATATATATATATATATATATATATACAAAAGCAAAATGAAGAGACTTGGAGGATCTAACTGAAGAGAATTTCATTCGTGTCGTTTAACTGATTTAAGACTGTTATACAAAACTACGTCACAGAAAACATCCGATGTAATATATCTTTTCTCTGTGAATTTTTATTGGATTATCAAAGAAGAGAGGGAAAAAAAAATTATGTATATATGTATACACATCACGTGTGAGGATAAAATTTTAAATAAATAAAAAAAAAAAAATTAAATCACAACTTTGATAAAAGTTACATATTATAAAAAAAAAATGCATAAAAATAATTTTGCTGATATTCAAAAAAAAAAAAAAAAAAAAAATTATATTTCTTATTTCGATAAAAATTTTTCGCCAACTCAATGAAATATATATGAATGCGACACGTGTATTTTTTTTTAATAGTCTCATTCGAATTATAAATCTATTATGAAAAACGTGAAATAAGTTTTTATCAATATTGTCGAATTAATAATAATCGAAATTCTCAAGATAAAAATATCTATTCATTTTAATCTTTATTTTATATTTCAAATAGAAAATTTTAATCTATTTTAATTGCGGTATCATTTTTAAATTGTATATAAAATATTTTTTATATATATTTTTGAATAATTAAAATTTTGTTAAGATAAATAAAATAATATATAAATAATAAGTAATAATAAGTAATAATAGGTAGCAAATAATAATAAATAATAATAATAATTACAAATAATAAATAATAATAAATAATTAATAATTAATAATTAATAATAATAATTAATAATAATAATTAAAAATTAATAATTAATAATTAATAATAAATGATAAAAAATAATAAATAATTATAAATTAAGTTCAAAAAAGAAAAATAAATCAAAAAAGTTAATACATTTGTCTAAATGACATAATTAAAAATTGTCAAAAGAAAGTTGATGCGAATAATTTTTGATAATGAACCTCCATGAAGTTGGCGTCGACGCTCAGCGTCGAAAATTATTTTTATGGGACCAAAAATATCAAAACATTTTTTAAAAAGGTTTAGGGTTCACACAATGTCTTAAGAAGTATTTTTCAAGGTATTATTTGGATTGAAAAATTAAAAAAAAAGTAATTTCAAATTTTTGATTCCACGAAAAACAATTTTCGGCGCTGAGCGTCGAAGCCAACTTCATGGAGGTGATAATGAATACAGTTAGGTTCATCTCAAAAAATAGAATTGTATACAATGGCATTTTTTTAAATTCATCTGAAAAAAATATTTTAAAAAGTATAAATAAAAAAATATATTTAAATAGCTATTTTTAGTCAATTTGCAATAAAAAAAATTTTATTTTAAGAATTTCAAAAAATGAAGAAAAAATGATTAAGAAAAACCCTAGTTTTGCGGTTCGAAATGGACCTTACGGTATAGAAATCATTATAAAATTTTCCTTTAGGTAAACAGTACAATTCAAATAATATATTTATCATTTAAACTATATATATTACAACCCTCTGATAACAAGTATCTATATTCACAATAATATTTCATCGATACACTGAAAAAAAAAATGTATTTAATTCAAATAATCAGATTCTTGACTATTATCAACTAAATATTTATTTAAACCAAATAATTTTTATTTAAATCAATCAAACTATATTTTAACCAATAATTTCTGTATTTGAAAAAAATACAATTTAATTGATTTAAATAATAAATATTTGATACAAATAAATATTTATTTAATAATAGTTAAGTAACCGATTATTTTGAATCAAATAAATTTTTTTTCAGTGTAATTAATTATATTAGAAAAAATTATTAACTGTTCAGTACTGTTAACATTTTATCAATAAATTTACCTCATTGCTCTAGAAAACTTATTTTAAGCTATATTTAAAATTGCAATTATTATTATTATTATTATTAAAAGTATAATATAAAATAATTATCATCACACTGTGAATAACCTAATTTTAGTTATAATTTAATATAAATTTTAATTTAATTAAAAAATTTTTATTTGAATTAACTTTGTAACAAAAAAACTTTTGTTTATCTATATAATCACATAAATATTTATTTGTTGTCATTAATTATTTATTTGTTGAAAATAAATATTTATTTGATTTAATTAAAATAAAATATAAGTTTATTTAACTCAAATATATTATATTTGATTCAAATAAAACATTTCTCTGGGTATATTATATTTTCCTCCGTTTAATAAAATCAGTAGCAATTATTTGTCCCTTTAAAAAAAAAAAAAAATAAATAAATATTAAATTCATTCATATTAGTTCTCAATAATGAATGTCAAATGAAAAATATTGTCAACACCCTCACATGAAAATTATTTTTTTTAATTCTAAACAATTTAACTATTTTGAAAAAAAAATAGTTTTTTAATTTCTTCGATGAAATATATTTTTCTTTTCAATAAAATAAAAATGTAGCGTTAAATTAGAAACAAGAATATTGAAAAAAAGCAAAATGAAAAAAAAAAAAACAAAACAAAACAAATAACTTTGAAAACAAAATTCACCTGATATCACTCGATAAACTCGATTATCGAAGAACACACTTGGAAAATAGAAACAACTATTCACAAATGGCGAACTGAAGAGAATATTCGAATAGCATGAGCATTTATAAATTCATTGACACCATCTGGTGGAGAACAAGAAAGTCTCAGAAATAAAGGGGGGAAAATAAAGAAGAGTCCTCATAAAATGCATTGTATATATATATATCGTTCGTTATCATTTTCTTCTTTTGTACAAAGCTTTTTTTCCCCCTTAATTTTCAATTTTCTTTTTATTCTATTCGTTTTATATTCAGTTTTTTTTTGTTTTTAAATAAAAATTGAGTTTGTTTTATTGAAGAATTTTTATCATCGAACTTTGGAAAAGAATTTTGTTCGTTCAACTGCAGGAAAACCAATAACTATATTATAAATGAAGTAAATTTCTTATAGATCAAAGGTCTCGATGCAAATCATATAAGGTCAGTTCATGTATATATATATATATATATATATATATATATATAAAAGGTCCAAGTATATTGCTTCATTAGATTTTATTTAAGGGGAGGCACCAACTTTATTTTAAACCCCTCTTTAAATTTTAATTATCGCACAATGTTATATTTTTTTAATGCATCATTTGAGTTCTAAAAACAAAGGTGATCAAAAAAAAAAAGAAAATCTTAATTTTTTGACCTTTCTAGAATTTATATATTTTTTTTTTAAATACAAATTTTCGAAAATCCATATGTGTCGCTCCACGACAAAAGGTACCTAAGTTCCCAAAATTTTTAGGTTATATTTTTGATTTTTGAAGTGAAAATATATAAAGATGGTCAACTATTTATACAAACTATTGATATTTAAGTCTTTATTAGAACTAAAATATTCAATAAAATCTATTTTTGATTTTATCTAATTAAAATAGAACTTTTTATTGAGGTAAAACTAACACTAAATATAACACAACCACACAAAAAAAAAAAGTTCTGATCTGGGGGTCTGTCTATATATTTTCTATGTCTTTAGGTCGCTGAATCCGAATCCGAGGCCCATTCAACCCCATCACATCAGGTTTTTGAAAAAACCTCAAAAAACCAAAATGGCTGACACTTTTTTGGAAAATTTGTCGGATTCGCTTGAAACTCGCTACTCGGGGGTTTTTAGGGTCGCTGATTACGAATTTGAAGTCAGTTTTCAAAAATTCAAAATGGCGGATCCAATATAGCGGACATTTTTTTGAAAAATTTGCCGGATTTGCTTGAAACTCGCTACTCGGGGGTTTTTAGGGTCGCTGATTACGAATTTGAAGTCAGTTTTTAAAAATTCAAAATGGCGGATCCAATATAGCGGACATTTTTTTGAAAAATTTGCCGGATTTGCTTGAAACTCGCTACTCGGGGGTTTTAGGGTCGCTGATTACGAATTTGAAGTCAGTTTAAATTTATCATATCAGGATTCGGACATAATCTAAAAAAACCTACAATTTGTGCTATTAAACGCGCCTGCTTTCTCACTCAACCGCCGATACTGGGGTTCCGAGTCCCTGCATCGTAATACGTTTCCTACGTGCGTCTGCCATGACGGCATCAAAGCCATTAATCCAGGGACTTCGCCGGATAGGAGACAAACTCCGTTGCCCACCGTCACCACGTGGAGGTGCCCTGGACGCAGGCACACGCAAGATACAAAGTAAATACGGGTGAATTAAAACACTCAAGTTTTTGATTTCTCAAAAGAACATCTTTATTGGATTCGCCATTTTAAATTTTGTAAATTGGACTTCAAATTCGTAATCAGCGACTTCAAAAACCCACATGTAACGAGTTTCAAGCGAATCTAATAAAGTTGACAAAAAATCCTGCCATATTGGATCCGCCATTTTGAATTTTTGAAAACTGACTTCAAATTCGTAATCAGAGACCCCAA